GATGCCACCCGGGGATCGCTAAGAGGGTACACATGGTCTGTTATAACTCGTCACACATTCAATACTTGTCATGCTAACAGGCATTTGAACCATTTAAACAACCAGGTAGCATTTAGCTGACTAGGTGTTCTGTTGATGAAAATGAACAAAATTGGCTACCGCGGCTGTCACTAAGTACCTTCAACAGCCACCTATGCAGACATGTCAACTGTATGAAAACTGTCCTTTTAAGATGTGGGAAGCGGATTACAGATGTTATTGATGAGGAAGTCAAGCATTTCACATATATTTTTCTCAGTAAACTTCAGATAGTATTTGCTTTTGTTTTTAGAAGTTGTCCTGAACCGCTAAATCTAGATGCGTAACTGCATGTATGGTCACCACGTTTTGTAACAAAAGTCCCATGGATCAAGGAGTGAGGTTTTTCCTTTTGTTTGTCGTGTGGTATAGTGGTGAACAAATCAAATGTTTTGACAGAATGAGATTTGTTTCTTTCCTGAGATTGTAAAAAGTAAAACAAATCCTGTGAGTTTTGAGAACCCACATTGTATTCATTCCACTTGTTTCAAATATTGTCTATGAATATAAAGAAAGCCCTTCCCTTATTGTCTCGTTAGTTTGACTATTGTAGGTTTAACCCTTGCTATCAGGTAATGTTGGGTATACGAGCATTTAACTCCCCTTAAATACACATGACATAAATTCAACTTTTCCGTGTAACGCACACGTTTTACCGTAACTGAGCTCAAATAGAAACGCGTGTACATTTACATACTACCTCACTATGTGAACCCACGGCTGTATTCGTACATGTTTGACGTCACAATGTTCACGCTTCGTTCCCATTTTAGAGGAAAAGTTTAAGAGACTAAAAGTAAATTAAATGTTTACTATCAACACCAAACCTGAATAATAAACATGTCATAGGCCTAGGGTGATCAATGCCTAAAGGAAGCTCATTAAAAGCGACCAAACTGTAGATACACGATCTTGGCTTCATATATCATTTGGAAAATTCAAACATTTTGAACAATGCATTTTGGCTCAGTTCCTCCTGTCCTCATTGTTACAATATGCATATCTAATCTATTGTATTCTTTATCATCATAGATGACAACATTTTACATTTATTTAAAAAGAGTGTTCAGATACATTTTAGATGCGTGTCTTTCCAACATGGGTCGGGTAGCCTAGTGGTTAAAGCGTTCGCTCATCACGCCGAAGACCCGGGTTCGATTCCCGACATGGGTACAATGTGTGAAGCCCATTACTTGTATCCCCCGCGGTGATATTGCTGGAATATTGCTAAAATCGGCGTAAAACTATACTCACTCACTCACTTTTGCAACACGTTACACAGAATGTTGTAAAGGAAAAAGAGTTTGTTTGTGTCTATATCATACAACGATCTGTGCTCAGCAAGAGTGTCAAACCAACGGAAACGATTTCGCGGGCGTTAAACGTATGACGTTTACATTAATAAAACAATATTATTGTTCAACACAAACAGAAATAACAAAAAGCAAAGATGGAGTTACCCATGCTCGCAGTTTGCAACAGGGTACAGATTATATTGACATGAAACATGCACATGGTTGTACCATTTGTTCCAACACTTTGTAATCTGATTATTTCTCCTGGTGTACCAACCAGAATATACGTTTTCGGGACTGAAATTATCACGTATCACACCTCTCATCAGAGAGTGATCACCATCTGCCTTAACGCCGTTGACTAAATACGGAGTATCGTCCATAAAGTGCAGGCTAAAGTTCAATAGCTTTTGTTTTTAAATAAACATACAGAAATTCGTCATGTCCATGAAAGTATAGTAAATATTGAAAGTACATATGGTATATATCACTGTACTTCAGTCTTGTATCTATTCCTAACTGCTGTATAGCCGACATGCATGTAAGTAAAATGTAGTATAGACCCATGTACGTATTGTATTTATCATTGTAAGTGTCATTTGTCATTGCAAGTTCTTTAAATCTTAAACATTCATTCAGCAACATTACAGCTATGTATAATCAATCCAATGATCCTTGGCATCGATCTACTCAATTGGAATGAAATACGTGCATCAACCATGTCAGTCAGCTTAACCATCCGTCTCTGTATCTAACGCTAATCGTCACCGGGACAGTATGATGTACATATATGTAAATATTACTGTAAATGCAAGAGAATAATTAGCTTAGACTTTCTGCCGATACAGATTATATTTGGCAAAAAGGGTAAAATAGCTGTGGCATTTATATGAATGGACCATAGAAAATCAGTGATGACACCAGGTGTTCGCGAAAATGGTAAGCATGTCCTACCCGACCGGTAGCACCCGCCATTCATATAATTTGCATAAAAGGAAGTATTTATTGCCTGACGCAGCACAGCCGTACTCCTCCTCCTGTAAAGTGTGATGTTGGTTGGTTTGTTGTTTAACGCCGCACTCAGCAATATTCCAGCTATATGACGGCGGTCTGTAAATAATCGAGTCTGGACAATCCAGTGATTAATATCATGAGCATCGATCCACGCAATTGGGATCGATGACATGCATCAACGAAGTCAGCGAACCTGACCACCCGATCCCGTTAGTCGCCTTTTACGACAAGCATAGTCGCCTTTTACGGCAAGCATGGGTTGCTGAAGACCTATTCTACCCCGGAATCTTCACGGGCAAAGTGTGATGTACATCCATGTAAGTATAGTACATTTTTTTAACAAAAGCACAGTGCATATTTAAGTAAGTACAGTATATTGTATACACATGAGGGTACATTATAGGATACATAAATGTAATCACAATGTGGTATATATCCTTGTTCGTATGGTATATATCATTGTAATTAAAGTGTAGCAAACATCCATGTAAGTATATCATATTTACAGTTAAGTAGATCTCATTATAAATCCATGTAAAGTATGATATAATATGCATCCGGTACAGTACATAATAGTATATATCATTGTATGCACAAGTATAGCATACATATATGTAGGGGGCACGGGTGACCCAGTCGTCTTAGGCGCCGCTGTGCGAGTTGCGTCGCTTGGGCACGCCAGAGACCCATGATTGTGGGTTCGGATCACGGTTCGCCCCGATTATGTTTCTAGGTTTGTCAGCACCATACCCGTGCTCGTGGGTTTCACCGAAGCGGTAAACGTCTAAGACCTGCATCACTTCGGGCTTTCCTCCAACAGTAAGCTGACACGCCGTGATATAACTCGAATACTGTTAAAGGCGGCGTTAAACCCAACTCACTCACTCACTCACATATATGTAAGTAAAGTGTAGTATATAGCCATGTTCAGTACAGTGTAATAACATGTAAGTAATGAGGGTTAATGCCAGAGAATAACCAATCTCGAGTATCTGCCGAATCAGATTCCATTGGGCGTAAAAGGAAACGATGAAAAGTATACGGCTGGATGACTGAAACACGTTATTGAAGGGTTCGCGAAATGGGTAAATGTCTTGGCGTTCTGATAGCACCCATCAGTCACCAACATTGCATAGTGAGTGAGTGAGTTGGGTTTAATTTAACACCGCTCTTAACAGTATTCCAGTTATATCGCGGCGTGTCAGCTTAATGTTGGAGGAAAGCCCGAAGTGATGCAGGCCTTAGACGTTTACCGCTTCGGTGAAACCCACGAGCACGGGTATGGTGCTGACAAACCTAGAAACATAATCGGGGCGAACCGTGATTCGAACCCACAATCATAGGTTTCTGTAGAATCGCGGCGCCTTAGACGACTGGGCCGCCAGTGCCTCCCCACACACACACCTCCACCCACCCACACCCCTAAACATGTAAGTGTTTGTTGCCTAGTGACACGGAGCAGTACTCCTGCCACGCGACGGAGTCCTGTAAACAAACCAAATAAGTGGGCGGAAAAATCCAGTGAGACGACTGGTCACACTAACATCGCTATGCTATTTTTTAATTACGGCTGACGTTTACAAGTGCAGAAATTCTGCTGCTTGTAAGTGAAGAAAAAAGTAAAAGAAATTATTTTGTAGTTGACTCAGAATAGATTAGTGCCACTCAACTGGGGAACTTCAGTCCGCCAGCAGGAACATTGACCCAATTCAATTAAATAAACACGCCCACGTCAGAGAACATTATTCACCGAGAACAATCATTTGGGAGTAAAAGGCAAAATATATGTACATTATAGTATAAACCGTAATAAAACCCCAGTGTATGTCCCTATAAGTACAGCATATTATATATAAATTTAAGGTGAGGATAAATGGGGTTAAGCGTCGCGTCCAAGATTATTGCACTTATTGTGTGTGTGGCTGCTTGTACTAGCCCGGACTCATGCCGATTTATAGTGCTAGCTCACTGAGATACCATGCCGCAGTTTAACATGAATACCCCACTCAGACACAGTATACTGACTCCCAGCCGACCAGTCTTTGTTTTAGCCCCTTAATAACGAGCGCCAAACAGGGTGACAACAAGTACCATCTCTTAACGTCTTTTTGTATGACGCCGCCGCGGATCGAACCCCGGACCTTCCGCCCTCCGACAGGCGATTTGCCAGTAGACCAAGGAATCGGTCTGTAAATTTAAGTACACTGTACACATCCATGAAAGTATGGCGTAGTATATATCCCTGTAAGTATGGTATAGTACACATCCATGTAAGTATGGTATGGTATACATCCATGTAAGTACAATATATTGTAGCTCCATGCACTTGTACGCTCATATGCATCTCTGTTATTACGGTATTGTTAATTTACGTCGATCTGAGAACATTTGTCAAGCCCCATGGGGAGGAGAACAAAATCCCCCAATCCACCAATGTTATTCCCCAAGCTAATCCCCCAAATTCCTATCAGCATCCTATCCCCAACCCCACAACCATGAAACCCCTCACATGTGAAAACTGTGTGCCCTGAGACAGCCGCAGCTAGTGTTCTGGCATCGATGCATGACAGTGTGAAGCACTGAGTAGATGCGCACGCTGATTATGCGACACTGAATATTACTTCCTTGTCTGTCCCGTATAGCCTACCTGTGCACGGGTAGGAGCCTACAGTCGGTGTAGATATACTGCGCAATATACATCCTGGTACCAAGAACAGAGTTAGCTGGAGCTGGTTCTACTTTGTGTCCAGCATGAAGACAAACTACATCCTTCAGCTGCTGATTCTGGCGGGATTGATCGACCTGAGCATCCAATGGAGCGGGTAAGTAACCATTGGTCATCCCAACGCTTTACTGTATCATTCAAGCACAAGACCTGCCTTGAGAAAATCAGACTATAATAACATTTTACCCCAAAACTAAAGTCGTGTTTTGTTAAAAAATATTTATTTTATTAAAAAAGAAATCCATTTGAAATAATGTTGGAAGATATTGAGAAAAATGGGCTTAAGTTCAATGGAAAATGATTTGGTTCGTGTATATGACACAGCACGCATTGTCAGAAATTCTATTGTTCGCTAAGTACTTAACTACCCTACTTATTTCTACAACAACTCTTTGCAGTCCTTGTTTATAGGACAAACACCCAACGACTACAACCTATTAATGTCCCTTCTCATACCTCTAATGTGCATGTGTTATCGAGTCAAGTTTCCACACAATGCAAGTTAGGCGCCATACTTCAACTAAAGATAGACTGCGTGTTCAAAAGTAAATGATCGTTTGGTGCACATTTGCTCGTTCCCTTTTTATGAAACGTGAATAATCGTGACTAGCTAGGTTTATGAATAAGTGGGGATTATAATTCGTCTATTTTACTTTTATATATGACGCTTGTCTTGTGACAGTGATATATTCGTATACGATCAGTAACTTGATATCACTGACTGCCTCTGTATGTGGCTGGCAGCTGAATTAACTATTACACATGTGACCATATGACGACCCCACGACATATAGTGTAGATGAGGACACACAAATGTAATCAGGACTGGATATGTGGATAAGGACTTACTCATGTAGTCAGTATTGGTCAGTGTTTGTCTGAACACACATTAGTGACTTTGTGACAAGGTAGACACAATTGTATGGATAACAACTTCTTTAATACTGTAAAAAGCGACGTTTCGGTATAGATCCTTATACCGTTGTCAAGCAGGACTGAATGAGGGACAACGTACAGAATATATATAGTAGGTGGAGGATTAACGGTAGAGGATTAACAGTAACAACAATAGCATACATGGGCGGGATTAACAGTTACAACAAAAGCATACATGGGCGGGATTAACAGTAACAACAATTGCATACATGAGTGGGATGAGTGACTAGCATATATGGGCGGGATTAACAGTTACAACAACAGCTTTCATGGGCGGGATTAACAGTAACAACAATAGCATACATGGGCGGGATTAACAGTTACAACAATGACATACATGGGAGGGATTTACAGTAACAACAACAGCATACATGGGCGGGGATTAACAGTAACAACAATTGCATACATGGGCGGGATTAACAGTAACAACAATTGCATACATGGGCGGGATTAACAGTAAAAACAACAGCATACATGGGCGGGATTAACAATAACAACAATAGCATGCATGGGCCTGATTAACAGTAACAACAACAGCATGCATGGGCGGGATTTACGGTAACAACAACAGCATAAATGGGCGGGATTAACAGTAACAACAACAGCAACATACATGGGCGGGATTAAGAGTAACAACAATAGCATACATGGGCGGGATTAACAGTAACAACAACAACATACATGGGCGGGATTAACAGTAACAACAACAACATACATGGGCGGATTAACAGTAACAACAACAGCATACACGGGAGGGATTAACAGTAACAACAATAGCATACATGGGCGGGATTAACAGTAACACCAACAGCATACATTGGCAGGATTTACAGAAGCAACAACAGCATACATGGGCGGGGATTAACAGTTACAACAATTGCATGCATGGGCGGGATTAAAAGTAACAACAACAACATACATGGGCGGGATTAACAGTAACAACAATAGCATACATAGGCGGGATTAACAGTAACAACAACAGCATACTTTGGCGGGATTATCAGTAACAACAACATACATGGGCGGGATTAACAGTAACAACAACAACATACATGGGCGGGATTAACAGTAACAACAGCATAAAGGGGCGGGATTAACAGTAACAACAACATACATGGGCGGGATTAACAGTAACAACAATTGCATACATGGGCGGGATTACAAGTAACAACAACAACATACATGGGCGGGATTAACAGTAACAACAGCATACATGGGCGTGATTAACAGTAACAACAACATACATGGGCGGGATTAACAGTAACAACAGCATAAAGGGGCGGGATTAACAGTAACAAAAACATACATGGGCGGGATTAACAGTAACAACAATTGCATACATGGGCGGGATTAACAGTAACAACAACAGCATACATGGGCGGGATTAACAGTAACAAAAACAGCATACATGGGCGGGATTAACAGTAACAACAACAGCATACATGGGCGTGATTAACAGTAACAACAATAGCATCGATGGGCGGGATTAACAGTAACAACAACAGCATACTTTGGCGGGATTAACAGTAACAACAATAGCATACATGGGCGGGATTAACAGGAACAACAATTGCATACATGGGCGGGATTAACAGTAACAACAATAGCATAAATGGGCGGGATTAACAGTAACAACAACATACATGGGCGGGATTAACAGTAACAACAACAGCATACATGGGCGGGATTAAAAGTAACAACAACAGCATACATGGGCGGGATTAACAGTAACAACAATAGCATACATGGGCGGGATTAACAGTAACAACAACAGCATACAATGGCGGGATTAACAGTAACAACAATAGCATACATGGGTGGGATGAACAGTAACAACAACAGCAACATACATGGGCGGGATTAACAGTAACAACAATAGCATACATGGGCGGATTAACAGTAACAACAACAGCATACACGGGAGGGATTAACAGTAACAACAACAGCTTACATGGGCGTGATTAACAGTTACAACAATGGCATACATTGGCAGGATTTACAGAAACAACAACAGCGTACATGGGCGGGGATTAACAGTAACAACAATTGCATACATGGGCGGATTAACAGTAACAACAACAGCATACATGGGCGGGATTAACAGTAACAACAACAACATACATGGGCGGGATTAACAGTAACAATTATAGCATACATAGGCGGGATTAACAGTAACAACAACAGCATACTTTGGCGGGATTATCAGTAACAACAATAGCATCGATGGGCGGGATTAACAGTAACAACAACAGCATGCATAAGGCGGGAGAACAGTAATAACAACAGCATAAATGGGCGGGATTAACAGTAACAACAACATACATGGGCGGGATTAACAGTAACAACAACAACATACATGGGCGGGATTAACAGTAACAACAACAACATACATGGGCGGGATTAACAGTAACAACAATAGCATACATGGGCGGATTAACAGTAACAACAACAGCATACACGGGAGGGATTAACAGTAACAACAACAGCATACATGGGCGTGATTAACAGTTACAACAATTGCATACATGGGCGGGATTTACAGAAACAACAACAGCATACATGGGCGTGATTAACAGTAACAACAATTGCATACATGGGCGGATTAACAGTAACAACAACAGCATACACGGGAGGGATTAACAGTAACAACAACAGCATACATGGGCGTGATTAACAGTAACAACAATTGCATACATTGGCAGGATTTACAGAAACAACAACAGCATACATGGGCGTGATTAACAGTTACAACAATTGCATACATGGGCGGGATTCACAGAAACAACAACAGCATACATGGGCGTGATTAACAGTAACAACAATTGCATACATGGGCGGATTAACAGTAACAACAACAGCATACCTGGGCGGGATTAACAGTAACAACAACAGCATACATGGGCGTGATTAACAGTTACAACAATTGCATACATGGGCGGGATTTACAGAAACAACAACAGCATACATGGGCGTGATTAACAGTTACAACAATTGCATACATTGGCAGGATTTACAGAAACAACAACAGCGTACATGGGCGGGGATTAACAGTAACAACAATTGCATACATGGGCGGGATTAACAGTAACAACAACAACATACATGGGCGGGATTAACAGTAACAACAATAGCATACATAGGCGGGATTAACAGTAACAACAACAGCATACTTTGGCGGGATTATCAGTAACAACAATAGCATCGATGGGCGGGATTAACAGTAACAACAACAGCATGCATGGGCGGGAGAACAGTAATAACAACAGCATAAATGGGCGGGATTAACAGTACCAACAACATACATGGGCGGGATTAACAGTAACAACAACAACATACATGGGCGGGATTAACAGTAACAACAACAACATACATGGGCGGGATTAACAGTAACAACAATAACATACATGGGCGGGATTAACAGTAACAACAGCATACATGGGCGGGATTAACAGTAACAACAACAACATACATGGGCGGGATTAACAGTAACAACAACATACATGGGCGGGATTAACAGTAACAACAACAACATACATGGGCGGGATTAAAAGTAACAACAACAACATACATGGGCGGGATTAACAGTAACAACAGCATACATGGGCGGGATTAACGGTAACAACAGCATACATGGGCGGGATTAAAAGTAACAACAACAACATACATGGGCGGGATTAACAGTAACAACAACATACATGGGCGGGATTAACAGTAACAACAACAGCATACATGGGCGGGATTAACAGTAACAACAACAGCATACATGGGCGGGATTAACAGTAACAACAATAGCATACATGGGCGGGATTAACATTAACAACAACAGCATACAATGGCGGGATTAACAGTAACAACAATAGCATACATGGGCGCGATTAACACTTACAACAATAACATACATTGGCGGGATTAACAGTAACAACAATAGCATACATGGGCGGGATTAACAGTAACAACAAAACATAAATGGGCGGGATTAACAGTAACAACAATAACATACATGGGCGGGATTAACAGTAACAACAATAGCATACATTGGCGGGATTTACAGTAACAACAACAGCATGCATGGGTGGGATTAACAGTAACAACAATAGCATACCTGGGCGGGATTAACAGTAACAACAATTGCATACATTGGCGGGGATTAACAGTAACAAC